TTAGATATAATGGATAATCTTTGCCATTTTCTGTATAACAGACCAGGGGCCGGCACGAGGTGGGCAAACGGGGTTTTCCAAAACGAATTCTCCTTTGATCCCAATAAATTGCGAATACCCTCTTAAGCCCAAAAACGATGCTTTGTACTTCAACGAGAGCACCGACTACGCTCCGCCTAAAAGCGCTCAGAAACACCCAAAATGCTCGAATTCCTCTAACTACTTCTCACCTGTATCAAGATTGAAAACAGGAAGAAGAATAAGCACAAAGAATGTTGAAGGAATGAGGAGATATGAAATAGCGCAGTCATAGGACTGAGAGACGCTGTTCCCGCGCGTATCGATTGACTGGGGCGCGCTTTCCATCTTATTAAGCTAAGCCGCTGATGCGATTTTGGGCTCTAGCAAAGACGAGAGGAGGAGTTTCGGAACCAAAATCTCACCATGTAGTGAACTTTAGGTTTACAACTTATGTAAAAATTTTGAAAAACTTTTGTGAAATAAGAGTTTTGCCTACTTTAGGTGAACATAGGTGGGCAATTGCTTACCTAATTTGGAAAATAGTTGGGCACGCTCTTCACTCACATAAGTTTATCATAATTCATACATTGTTCCTTAGTCCTATTGCGCGTACACCAAGTCTCGCGCGATTTCGTTCTCTCTGCGCTGCGAACGAGCCATTTTTTCATTTTCTTGATAGTAGGAAATTTTCAGAAAAAAGCTTGCCACAATCTTCAGCAGACCTTCGATAGTCTAGAGACAGGGGGCCAAAACTGAAGGTTGTTCGAGCATCTGACGTTATAAATAGTGAAGCTTGTTTGAAGAAGATCAGAAAAGAGAAAATGACGTGAAAAAGATATAAAAAGCAAAATAAGCCGCTGTAAACCGGATAAAAACGCTGCAATAATGTTTGAAATCTTTCATTTGGCGGCTTTTCCGAATGCAATTTTTCGCTCCAGAACCAGCAATTCAACACGGGGTTTTAATTTTTGATGCGTCCTTCAAATTTTTACCCCCGCATTGACGTTCCTGTTTCCTGGGACGTTGTCTAGATTGTTGCGCTCATTGTTCTGACGTGAGCAACAATCGCCCAAGCTGGAAAAAATCGATGCGAAAGCACTGAAACAGAACACGGTAAAGAAAAACGCACTTATTACAGTTTTTCGTAAAAAATTCCACCATAATCGAAGAGGTAAGGGCTGGGTGGTTGTCTAAATTATAAACAGAAGTAAGTTCTATAGAATGCACGAAAAAACAGCGTGAAAAGACTTAGGCTAGAAAAAAAACAAAAAAATTTTGAAAACAAGGTTTTTTGCCGGATTTCTTGTTCAAATCAAAAAAATTGTAGTTTTGGGACGTTGTCAGTGTAAAAATAGAGATCAAGAGCTTCAAAATGATATATAGCTTGCTAGATTTGGTCGAAACAGCGAGAAAAAGGGCATCAGGGCTAAATGTTTCGCTGCCCCGCATTTGGGGTAACGAGGCAGCACGCAGCGCGCGGAGACGCAGACAGCGGAGACAGACCAAAGCCGACGGGGCATTTAGCTCTGGTCGTAGATCTCAGCGGGGTCTCAACGAAACCCTGCAACATTATATATCACTAGTTGGCAAACCCGGCTCCGCCCGGCCCTGTCAATAACATGTTTGTAATGAGCATGCTCGATTACCCCCTGTGCCAACTCCCAGCCCCGTAGCTCAAAGTTTGCAAAAAATCGATAAAATCGATATCGATCGATGACGAAAAGTAGCCTATGACACCCGCCGGGGCCCGAAGTGTATGTGTGCCAAGTTTGGTCCGGATCGGTTCAGAAATGGAATTTTCTATTTGGAACATACGTACAGACATGCAGACAGACAGACAAACAGACATTCAGCTTTATATATAAGATTTTGATCGTCATGACACGACGAGGAGGACTGACAACGTCCCAAGCTTTGAAAATCATTCATTAACAAGATAGACCAGCGTATTCGTGCGCCATTCTCTGCGCAAGAATTAAGCGCAGTTTCTCGTTTTTATTTAACTCCAATCGCTTTCTTAAACTTCTGAAACTCTGTTTTGGTCAAATGAGAGGCTAATAGAAAAATTTTGTCCTGAATTCTGGCGAAAATTCCACAGAAACCTTCTTTTAACGTAAAAAAGGCTATGAAAACGCAAATTCTCGGTTTCGCTGAAATAAGTAGAGATATTACTGCCTATATTTGCTTCATTAACATACGTTCCGATATAGTCAGGATAAAAACATCCAGGGCTTCGCCCTGGATGAGTTCGGTTTTTATCCCGGTGAAAGTTGTGTCCCCTCACATCCCTCAAAGTGAAAATTACCAAAGTACGTGGCTCTATGTATCGAGGGTATGACCGCCCGGACCCCGCAAAAACAATTTTCCCCTTGCTTTTTTCCACAAAAAACGATTTCAGCATGTCATTTGCTTACCTCGTACCGGGCCCTGCATCAGACGTGTGCTGGTGAGTTTCTGTGCTAAAAATGGCTCTCGGCAGTGCGTGCACATGACCATATCTGCACCTCACCATTAACTTGCACCTCTTTGCAGGTTTCTAGCAGTCACTCTACGAGCCTGCTGCTAAGCTTATTCGAAAGAGCGTGACTTTCTCAACACGATGGTATGCAAATAATCTGAGTTTGGGAAATACCAAAGATTTGACGGATGGGGTGAAAAAATGCAGCTTGGAAGGCAATTGGAGTGAGAGCTCTAATCAACTTCAGAACACTCTTAGAGCTTCGAAGTGGATCTATTACAAGAAAATTGACATTTTCGAGCTTTTATGATAGAATTGGAACTGTTCAAAAGCTGAAAAATTCTTAACCTACCACTGAAGCTGCGCTTTTTCACCCCTTCCGTCAGATATTTGGTATTTCCCAGACTCAACTCATTTGCATACCATCGTGCTGAGGAAGTTCGCTCTTTCGAATATGCCTACTTACATTCTCCTAGATCGTCTGGCGAGTCGAGCTACAAGCCTGCAAAGCGGTGCAAGTCAGTGGTAAAGTGCAGATGGGGTCATGTCCACGCACTGTCAAGAGCCATTTTCAGCGAAGAAACTCACCAGCACACGTCCAATGCATAGAAAATGGCAAAGAACATCCATTTTATCTGAACAGCTTTGTTAGGACGTCTTCAATAGATCTCCATGTAGAGAAATATGGCTTGAAAAGGTATTTAGAAGTAAATTGAAAAAAAGTAACATAAAATTTGAGCTTGTGTTAATTTGGGAGTAACCACTACCTGATTATTGTTCTCGATGAGTTCTACAATATAGTATGCTTACCTGCTCGAAAAACTTTTTTTTTTGCTCCAAACAAAGACCTGAAGAAAAATTTTTGCGTCCGAAGAATTATTGTCCGCGATGTTGTGACGCGGCCATTTTCGGACTTTTTTAGAATAAAATTATTAAAATTTTCAGAATACATATTTTGCAGAAAGCGCAATGTGTGGCTTGTAGCTTTTGAAAAGCTCTATCAACTCATGCAACCCAATCACTTCTTCATCTTTGTTTTCCATCCGAAAATGAACGCTGAAAAAGCAAAGGCGGCTTGTCCACAATTTTTTGGCGGTTACTGTCTATTCTGAATAGGTTCAAACGCTGATTCCAATTATGCTATTTCTTGCTGCCGAGCACCATTCCGAAGCGAGTTACGGACTTTTTCCTGCATAAAATTAGCATACTCATTCACTCACTGGCATCACGGCATCATCAGCTAAGTGCTAATACCCTTGCGTTAAGCTTCTTCCTAGTGAGAAAATATTGGATTTGTGTTATTTCGATATCATAGCATCTTTTCCTTGCAGATTTTTATCTACAGACAGTCTTCCTATGTTCAGTAGTATGCCGATTTTGCGCAGAAAAGCCCTTAACTCGGGAATGGTGCGCAGCAGCTAGGAACATCATATTTGGAATCAGCGTTCAAAGTTGATTCAAAACATATATGTCGCTTGCCAAAAGGCCGAGCTAAGTTAGGTAGCTTTCCTCATTAGATATACGGATAAGTGTAGCACTTGAATCAAGCAGACCGTATTCAGTTTGTAGCTGGTCGCACAAGTTATGGGTACTCAAAACAACCGCGACCGGGTAAAGTTCAAAAACTAACACGTTTTTCGATATCATGCTTAACCAAGGTTCTATAAAAGCTTTATCATATGCATGAAATGTTCCTTGTCCTCCGGCAGTTGCATTATTCATTAAACTGAATTTTTTTTTCAAGAAGGTACCTGAAAAACAGAGTTTTAGCATATTTTACTATGAAACATAACTGATGAAAGCACTTGGATGCCTCACTGGATTCTTATGACAAAAAGACATGTTTCTATAAGTGTAACCAGTACAAAAGGTATATTTGGGAATAGATGTATAAGAAAAGAAGGGAGGGGGGGGGGAGGAACAGGTGATTATTCAACATCTCATTGATCGTTGTATATAGTCCTCCAGTTTTCAGGTCGTTTCAATATAACTGCCAGACTTTCTTTCTTACGAAATTTGCGCGCACCCTAATGTTACTTAAGGAGTAAAATAAAAGAAGGAAAAGTTACTGAAATTATTGTTTTACATGCCAGACTATGAGAAATTCGGTTAGTCGGCCTTTCGAGGAAGTTATGATTCGAAAAGGGAAACAAGAAAACAAATTAATTTTACACTGTGGTCTCCAGCGTCTTGCTTTTTGAAGGTACTGAAACAAAAAACATGATTTAGGTTGGAGAAATTACTGTTTCTGATTATCTTTATTTCATCTTCGGATTCAACATAGAACGAGGCTTGCTCTTAAAATTGAAACTTGCAAACTCTGTAGAGACTATGTTACAAAATAGTAGGTGCAAAATTCTGATTTTCGTGCTTTTCATCAGATACGTTATTGTCATTTATGACACTCTGTATTTTCCTAGCAGTTCGTTTTGTCTAGATTACCAAACATTTTTTGCAGTTAAATTCCATACGGTGGCAATTCTATCTCAAGCTCTTTCGTAATGGGCAAAACATACTTCGCCTAACCCACATCCTTCATCAGTGATCGTTGCAAACAAAGTCTTCCTACCCGGCCTATGCAAGTGAGTCTCTTGTTGAATTTCGCGCAGTCTCTTCTCAGCTCTGCTGCTTGAAGCTCCTGAGATCTTCCGAAAGTACATGCAATGTTGGTCTTTGTTGCAGCGCATCCAATGCCATCGAACTGATTCAGCTGAAAAAAAACGTAGATTTTCACGTTTACTATACATCTTTTTGAGGAAAATCGAAAACAGCAAAGAAGATTGCACCTGGACACCTGCAATAAGAAGTTTAAATGCACTAAAGGTTGAAACTCCTTACCGTTGCTTTTTGTTCCAAAAGAAGGCCCAGAAAAATTCTCAGTGTTGATTTGGCCTTGTTAAGGTCCATGAAAGCCCTTGGACTAGAATATCGTGTTCACAGTGAAGATGCGAGACTATTAGCTAAGAATTGCTGCCGTACCCGCCAGCTAGTCCAAGGCGAAAAGTGTGTTTATCGAATCCTAACCGAAGTGATCCCCAGATTCCTTCTTGTTGTCTCAATGTTTCCAAAAGGTCATACATGTACTTGTGAACAATAGCCTTAAAGGTGAATCATTATGAGTGAAACCAGTAACCTTTTTTTATTTTCCAATCAATATCGATTGTAAAGCGCCAGAGAATGAATTTTTTCCAACATCAGACGCTCCTTGTCACTAGCACTTCAAACTACCACCCTCTCTGAATGCTTTTTAGTAATTACCATATTCATTTATTCAGATGCAGCTAATCGTTAAGATTCTTGTTTTCTAGGTTCGACATAGAAAGAGCAGTAAACTTGAGTGGATTGACTCTAAGTCCAATTATCAAAAATTTTCACTTCTAGGGGTGCGTAGCTGCGCTGCAAACAAAAACTACAAACTACAAGAGAGCGAACTGATTAGGCTGGACATATCGAAACTGTTCTGCGCAAAATAAAGCCTATTTCAGTCACCCAGGCACACAAAAATTCTACTCTTTTGCTCCATCCGGTAAGCTTCATAATAGGCAAGTTAGCCGAATGCAAGGTGTCAAAATTGTAAGTTGGCTAAAAAGGTTTAATTTTGGAACGATTTGCAGCAAACTATATCGGACAGAGAAAAGCCAAAATGAAAAAGAAAAGTAGAAAGATAGAAAAATTAGAGAAAAACTTAAGAAAACGATGTTTCGATCAGACATAGAGCCTTGGCAAAATAGACGATTGAAGTCGGAGCTTACTAACGTGTGAGGCTTAAGCTAAAGTAGCTTACAGAAAAACTTGAGAAATTTATGAAATGGTTTGCAAGAATCTTCATTTGCTTGAAAGATCAATAAATTTTCCATGTTCTTACGTGATACGAATATCAGCATTACTTGTAAATGACTCATTTTTGTCATCTATATATATATATCAGTGGCGTACCGAGGGGGGGGGGGTATAAAATTGTGCAAATGATTTGTCTGCACTTGTAAATAATCAAAATAACTTTTGAAAATTTTTAAAAATTCATTTTGGCCCTCTAAAAAAATTTCTTTTCGGGTGCGTGGCTGACGCCACGCCCCCTTTTTCTGAAATTTCGGGGTTCTGAGCCTTCAAAAATTTTAGCGAGCATACCAAAAAAATTTTCGGAGTGCGTGGCTAACGCCACGCACCTTCATCGGACTTTTCGCTGAGTCTTTCTATCGATTTGTTGATTTGTTTACTAACATCTAGGAAAATGAAAGCAAATCATTCATTCCTCCAAGTTATGTAGTAAGGAGCGGTAGAGATCATTTACATTTTGCAGTGAGGAGGATGCGGTGTCACGAAGCAAGGCGATCAAGAAGGAAGGCAAATTCACCACGATACCACAGGAGGGCTGCAATCAGCTCGGAGCTAAAGAAGGGGAAGAAGAGAAAATATGAACTGAAGGAAATGGATGAATGGTAAGCAATAAGACGATATTTGAAGCAGACCCTATGCCGTGCCATTTTGGACCCTCGGACCTGGTGGGACCGGGTACCGCAGTAGTTCAAAATGAAGATGAAACTTCTCGCGCTTGTGTGAAATTGTGGAGCACTTGAACTTAATTCAAATCAAAGTTTAACCAGTGATGCTTTCAGCGCGCTCATACGAAAACAGGTCTACTTCACAACAGGTTGGGGGACTTGTGTTCTTCATCTACTAAGCATAGACATGTTAAGATGACTGAGAAGCTTAGGTGCCCTGTATATGTGATGAAATGTGGTTTATGTAACCTAAGAATTATTGGGCCACGTTGCCGATTGTGATACGGTATGAGGAGTTACAATCCAAGCCTCAAAAGAAATCACCCGAGCAAAACACGTAAGGGAAACATATGTGCAAAACTACTTAAATCGACAAAGATGGGAGGAAAATTCTTCGTAGTTGAGCTTACAACTGGTATGGATTCTTAGTTTTGCACACATAACTCAAATAGTTACGAAACTGAGCTTTCATTTGGCAAGACTCAGTTTCAAACGGAAAAACTAAAATACTCATTTTCACTCCTATTCATGTTTCGAGGCAGATACTGAAAATTACTCTATAATTAGCAGAAGCGCTATGATGAATGATGTTACTTGCCCTGTATGATCAGCGATGCATTTTAAAGAAGAATGTGCCACTTTTCGGAGAGTCAAATTTTTCATTCTGCAGATTTTCGCAGGCACATAAATGCAAACCGCATGTAACGTTGATATTCTTAAAAAATATAGAAAGCCAGAAAACTCGGACTTTTTCTGGTTATGTGGTACCAAGTGTTATCCACTTCAAACACAAAAGAACATTTGTGTGACGTAATATGAAAAATGTAAATTTGTTTCCAAAAATCACAAAAACCCACGAAAGCAGAAAGCAGTAGAGGAGTTAAAACATCGGGTCTTTACAAATATGGAATTTTTAGGTAAGCGCAGATATCTTTAGTTGTATTGATTAGTCTTTATGAATAGTAAGGAAAGGAGAAATCGAAACAAAACCGGTATTGAATCACTGACCGAAGCTTTACAGCTATTGAGTGTTTTTAGGGTGGGCTGGTATACATACATAGCAAGCAGTGGCGGTCCCAGGATATCCGTCCGAGAGGTGGAGGGTGCAATGTTTCTTCTAAATAAAGGTACGTAGCGTTAGCCACGCACTCCGAAAAAAATTTTAGGGTGGTTCTGAAAATTGGGGGCCCAGAACCCTAAAATCTAGAAAAAAGGAATTGGAAGATGAGTAAAGTGAAGCGATATAATTAAAATTGCAAATCACTTCAAATGTCGCAATTTAATGAACTTAGTATGATCTCTTACCGCAGTGTTGTCAAGCGGTGCTGAGCTAAAGCAATTGAGGTGGGCCCTAAGTGAAGAACTCAACTTCACGGGCACGGTGCTCATAGTTGGTTTTTTCGGGGGCGTGGCTGTAGAAAAAAACCAACTATGAGCACCATGCCCGTGCAGTTGAGTTCTTCACCTAGGGCCCACCTCGATTGCTTTAGTTCAGCAGCGCTTGACAACACTGCGGGGAGAGATCATGCTAAGTTCATTAAATTGAGATTTTTGAGGTGATTTGCAATTTTAATTATATCTCTTCACTTTACTCATCTTCCAACTCTCTTTCCTGTTATGGAAAGGTTTATGGAGAAGTGAACATGGTTCGCGCCTTTTACAAGGTTCGTAACCAACCCCGCAATTTTCTTCTTCGCGGAATGGAGACAAGTCTACCGTTGTTGGGTTGCGAAGTCCATTTTCGGTGTCAAAACAAAACAACATGTTAGTGGAGGAAGTGATGTTGACCACGCCTCTTCAATCAAACTTTTTTGGGCAGTGTGGAGAAAGGCGACAAAATTCTTTTCAAAAAAGTGTGTGTAGTCAGCACTCCGAAAATTTTTTAAAGTGCTCCCTTCCACGCCCAGAATAAATTTTCTTGTAAGCTAACTTGAGTTTTCGAAAATTTGAAAGTTATTTGAATCAATTACAAGTAAAAACAGGTCACTTGTATAGTTCCGTAACTCATGTAGATGTTCACCACTACCACGAATGATGTAAACTGCTCATTCCAAAAGTCTTTTGAAGTGAGAATCTGTAACTTTGAACTAATTTCTCAGCAGAAGGCGAATGTAGCTGTAAAATAGTTATTGAGCTACTCATGAGTTGCTGGCTTCATAGAAATAAAATAATAATAATATAATATGTACGATATATTATTATACGTATCTCTATTTCTATATGAAATATAATATATGCTCACAATGATGCATTCAAAACCAAACATTTGCACGTAAAATTTCGAATAAACAATGCTTCACCAACTACTCTTTTAACGCCGCTTTCGCAGGCTAGAATTTTCAACCACTTTATAATTTTTTAATCCATGTCCTGCAGCTTTTCACCTTATAATAATATTCGCAGAAAGTGCAATATTGTACAAAATTTTCTTGGTCAAATTTTTGTGGATTCTGCGACATGCGCGGTTTGTTAAGAAAACGAATTAGATCCGCTTTCTGTGTATGCTAAGCCTACATATTGTATGTTGCGCTGAATTAGGCCCGAACTTTGTAATTTGTCCTGTGAATTTCGTGACAGATAATTTCGTGAAAAACACATGCATGCACAAAAAACGGTCAAGGGCCTTCTTACTTGAGCATGTTATAAAAAGAAAGAATGCTACTAGCGTTCACTTTGTATCTTCCTCCAAGTTTCTGTCGAATGTACAAGGTAAGCATAGGCGGGTCGAAGTAAGCATCTTCAGTGACGGCGTAGGAGGCCATAACCTGAATTTTTGCAGTTAAATAGAGAAAAAAGACCTCCTTTTCAAATAATATGTCTGTCTATCAAGGACGGAACACTTACTAGTAGAACTATGTACTGCTTCATATATTAATGAGAGATTTCCTTTTTCAGAGCCATTTATATCACCCATAGCGCTTTAAAGTGCAAGTCTAATTTTCCACGCAATTGCACACAAACTGTGCAGCAGTGACTATCGAATTCTTGCCAATAAGCCTTGCAAAGGAAGCCTTACGAAATTTCGTGGAAAACGGACAGATGAAACCAAAGCTGCTTTGTTCAATAGTCTTTTTAAAAAGGTCAGATATCCATTGCATACGTTCAAAGCTTGTCAGATTAAATTCGTTGCAAAGCTTAAAGCTTGCCAGAGCTTCCATTTTGTAACGTACGTGCATCACTAAGAACTTTTTTTGCTCACTGGTATTCTCATAAGCTTACCCTTTGCATTTGAAAAAGCACATTTCGTACATACACCTCACAACGCGGCATGCTTACTGCAAATCCCCATGGTTTGAATTTTCCTGATCTGTTAATCAATTGCACCAACTTATCTTCCAATATTACAAGGATTCAAGCGCTTCTCATTTTTATTGATGGAATGCCCCTCTCCCCCCCCCCAATATTGAGTACCAACTGTTATTACTTGGATAACTTTCGGAATCTGTGCTAACTCACTCATTTCCAAATTGTTTTAGACCTTTCCGTATTTCTGTTCTAACAATAAAATGGTCGAGATCTCTATATCGTTAGCGATACCTCATGCAAAGATCCATGCCAAGACAATGGTTTCGATCTTCTTCAGTCTGGTTGATAGATTTTCCACAAAATTCCTTACACTGTAAAGGTGAAAGTACTCAGAAAATGGAGATTGATTCTAAAACTTACTGGACGTAGTGGGGCTGCACCTTTTATATAGTTATTGGAAAATACGGCTGAACTATTTAACAAGACATCTCATACCAACGCGTACGTGCAGTAACATCAAGAGGAAGAACAATTTGCGTAACAATCTTTTCTGCAATCATGGCACTGTATAAAAAATCCAATTCCTTCTTTCTTCCTTAAGCGAATGCTAGCAAAAATCTCAAAAAATGTTTTTATTAAACAACCGCGACCATCACTCAAAAAATTTCCTGGCCCGTTGTTGAATATCACAAAAAATAAAAACAGTCGTGAACAGCTCTTCCCAAGAATCTAGAAATCTTCAAACATCAGCACACACAAAGCATTGTGAATGTTACAAGTTCGACTACAAAGTACTCCACCTTTTTCATATGACAATCGATTAAACCTCGAGTATTTTTAAGAGTATTACATATACTTCGTAGAGGAAGTGTCCCGGCAGATTTTGTATTTCCGCCTTTCTGCATAATTCGGCCCTTCCAACACGTAGAACCCGAATTGGTTTTTGAGCCGGGTGAAAAGATTGATTTTGGAGCTTCTACCCAGTTCCAAAAAAGCACTCGGGCGAGAATTACAGTGAAATGGGAAGCACTGGCACAAGGACCCTGCCGCTTGTAATTTTTGCTTTGGAAGCACGCATAATGCGGAAGCTGTCGTGCCCCTTGCCGAACAGTAAAGCGAAGTCGTCCGAGCGCGCTCCCATTCGGGTTGTGCGCGCCAGTTTAGAGCTACTTTCTGTCGCAGGGGGAAGATCAACCAGCCGGATTGGGCCTGGGAGTTAGTGGAGTTGAGCACTACAACTGTATCCCCAGGATGCGAATCTGCCGGGACATTGCCTCTGAAGTCATAGTCAAATATATATTTGGAATGCAGGTTGCTTAGACGTGCTGGAAAAACTGTAGTAGGAAAACTATACTGCGAAAATCGCTCTACTGACGCTTGCCAAAAAGTCTACTCAGAAGTGCTTGTAGTAATTACCTTCAACACGAAACACGAAATATTAGGTTGGCGGGTAGTTTCTGTTACACTTTTTCTTAAAATTCTGAAAAATTCCAGAAGTTTTCTAGAATCCTTAAAGTCGCTCCATATGTAGGCCACGGCAAAGCGCACACAACAGTGTGATTGATGCCGCAAATGCACAAATAGCTAGCAAGTTTACGACTACTTTGTGAGCACACTCTAAATCGTCATTTTTTCTCTGCTTTTTTTCGTTGCGTTTAATTGCGTTTTTTCTCTCCCATGATTTGTTTGAACACATCTTCGCATCGTCTCTTTTATGGCAGCACTTTGATGCCGCTGGCACGCCGAAAACAAGCAGTGAAAAACAAATCAGAAAATCAAAAGTTCGTATAAGTATTTGTTTCTGTGTGCATCGTGTAGGATTTGATATGTAGAGATTGGGAATAATTTTTTGTAAAATTCTAAAAATTGTTCCTTAGGATAAAATGCAAATGTGTGCTGACATGGCGCAACATGTAGCTCATGTGATCTATGCGGACATGCTTGTGCCAGCCCCCTACATTCGCTAAAAACTGTGGACCATATCCTGCCCGGATACCACGTCGCCCGGTTTCTTCCTTAATCACCTGGAAGAATGACAGCCCGCTGACCAAAATGTCCACAAAACGTACTTCCAGCGATAAAGTGAGTGTCTTCCCGGATCACGGTATCTGACAGTACCCGCGGGTAAACCTTTGCACCCCGTCAATGATCCTCAAACATAAAAATTTTTGAAAGTTTCTGAGAGTTCTAAAAAATAAAAATGAAAGTGTAACAGAAATTATCCGCCAACCTAATTACCGTCATTTTATTTTTTTTCCTCTTACACCTATTGTCAAGTCAAACTTCAAATGCTGGAATTGAAAGAAAATTGTGTGGCAACATAGCACTGACGGGCTTCCAGTTATCACAACGGAAATATTTTAGAACTCTTAAATTTCCAATTACTATCACTAGTCTGGAACAAATGTCTGTCACTGGGATAAGCTATTCGGCGAATTCGCAAAGACTGACAGTTTTACTGATAGTGAGTCAGACAAAGGCTTTATGTATTATTCTTCATAATAGAGAAATTAACACTATCATTTCTGATAACTGAAGATTTTTAAATACGCTATCATATCTTATCAGTAAAGATTATTTAAACGGAAATCTGGAAGATGTGTACTATTTGCTATCAAAAAGGCGAGAAGTACAAATTGCGTAAATTACTGTTTATGCCTTATTCAAAATTGGCTTAAATATCGAGCTTGACATCGCACTTATGCCTAGCTCAAACAAGGAAGGGTAAGCAGATGTGTTGCAACAAATGTATCTTCTTGTACTAAAAACTATCATAGTACAGAAAGCTGCTGTGACATGAGTATGTACCCTTGCTAATAGAAAGCTCAAAAAAGTCAAATTATTAGGTTGTTGCAAAAATAATGTCCGTTTTGCAATATTTCACTTTGAAAAGCTATAACTTCGTTCGTTCTTCATATTTTTGAATGCGATTAAGACCATCAGAAGCAGCAAATCTTTCTTAATCTAAGGCGCACCTGCATATACTGATATCGCAAACGGGAAGAAAACCATGCGTCAAAAAACCAAAAGTTTTGCTTTTGAAAACCTCGTTTTTGAAAGATTACAAATTCATTCAAGTTTTGTTGTTATAGCTGCTAGTCAGCTTATTTTGTAGACGCAACCCACTAGTATAATTATATATAGAAAGAACTTTAGCGAAGAAGTTCTGCGAATTAAAAAAGATAGAAATCCAAAATTGTTCACTTTTTAAGCCTATTTGTGATAGGTTGGAAGTCCCAAACTATGAAAACTTGGAATTTTTCATGCACTGAATAGCTAAGTTTTTCTGCATAAATTGTAGATAAGATGTCCTTACCTTAAGCCTACAGAAATGAGCAAAGTTTCAGCGATTGCCCTAATCAGGAAAAATTTCGAACCCATGGAGTTCCAGGCAGCGAGTATCTTTTTTGAAGCTCGATTTGTCAGTTCAGGTATAATCGAAAAACTTATTCAAACATGCAATAAGTAAACAATATCAATCCTATACAGTAGCTATGTTTTCAGAAGAATTCGTTTATTTGCGCCTGAATTATGGCCAAGAAAGTTGGAGTAATGAAATTTCGATTTTGAGTGCGGCTGTTCAAAATGCTGGTGAAAATCTCACAGATGAGATAAAAGCTTAGTTTTACCACCGTTAGAAAGTACATGAAGAAAGCTTTCTAATGATGTGCAAAATCTGTATCGAAAAAGAAAGCCTGAAGGAGAAAAGTCGTTTGGAATATACGCCTAGAAAAACGGACATTATTTTTGCAACAACCTAATAAAATGTGCACCAAACAAAGTTCAAACGAAGGACATGCAAATTACTGACAGAGACCGTTGCGTGGGTAAGAAATGTCGACTTGGAAGTTATTTTTAGAAAGAGAGGGGGGGGGAATAGATTATGATATCACCACTTCTGCCACCTATCGCCTTTCATAAAGCTGTTCACCCACGGGTCATACGCGCATCAATTCAGAACAAATTATAGATGAACAACAAGAAAAATAGTTGTCTGAGGCAAGCAACCTGAAAATACTGCCACAAAGGATTTTCCGGAACTTGCTGAAAAAAATCACCATGGAGATTGTAATTTTGCTAGCACAAAGTTCTGCGAATTTTGAGAGAACCTTATTATCTTCAATTTTTACCAAAGCACTAACGCGTTGAGAAATGCATTATCATCGGTTTCTTAAAACAAAACATATGTTCCATTAGAACAATAAGATAACAGCACATGTTTAACAAAAGAACATGAGAAACAAAACAAAAGGCTCATCCAATCTCACAACGGAACATCAACAGTCATATAAGATGTGAATCACATAGACTTCTCGTACTTGAGGTATACTGTCCAACCTGTCGTGTCTGAAATATGACATCCGAATTTAAAGGCAGCGTCCAGGCAAGTCTGGACCTATGGAGATTTTACGTGGAAAGTATTTTTGGGGCCCTAGCTAGCCACTGCCCAACCGGCAGCTCATGTAGTGCTCTAACGGCCGAGATATCCCCCTCAAAACTGAAACCCGCGACCGTATTTCGCATGGATTCATGGCGCAAAGCGTGGATCCTGGCGCGAAACTGCCATGAATTCATGCGAATACGATCGCGGGGTCCAGTTTCGAGGGGAATATCTCAGCCGTTAGAGCACTACCTGCGCTGCCGCTTGGGCAGTGCCTTAGTTAGGGCCCCAAAAGTACTTTCCACATAAAATCCCCATAGGTCCAGATCTTCCTGGACGCTGCCTTTAACGTGAAATCCTGTAAGCAACGACTAACCAAGCAACCCAATGTGCCTGAGAGATTGATTGTTGAAGCATACTCAAGGTATCGTAGCAGTACCCAACCAATGTGGAGGAGATACACCAGTTTAAATTGGCAAGCAGACCAATACTAAAAATCTAATCAATCAAATGAAAGAAAAAGGAAGATCAAATCATGACCGAATGCAGCAACTATGCGCGTGCTTTGGAAACGTTCAAATTGAATAACACAACGTATGGAGAAGGTCTTGCAAAAGAATTCGATTCAAACTGGGAAAATCGAAAACCAGACGAAAATCTTGACATCAGTATCTCAAATCGACGAAAGCTGGAAGTGCGAGTAGTGGAGTTGAAATGCGAGGGCAAGCTGTTAACATAACATCGTCATCTTCAGTGGTAGCAAGTTCCAGACCACCAATTCAAGAAATGAATAAACGATGTACTTTACTTTTCCAGGCTATGGAAGAACGTAGCCGAGGAAGAGATCTCAATAAACCTACGCGCAAAATAATCAAACTAGTGCTGTAACAACGTCCGATCGAGACCACCCACATCTTGGCATTATCTATATGGCGATGAACTACGAGTACTCGGTTTTTAAGAAAAACCAGCAGAATGCGAATTGTTCTGGAAACTATTTCAAAAGTTGGTACGCAATCAGATCTGAGAAAATTATCCATTTTGCTAGCATGTTGCAAAGGCGACGCGGGGCGAACATTGAAGATGATACCGCGCGGCGCCAAATCCTATACTAAGCGCACAATATCAAGATGAACGTCGCAACAAAAACTGCTCCTTCGAAAACTGCAAAACTTTCAAGAGTGGGCGACGACCTACGTCAACTTCAAAATAACAACGACATCTTAACGCTGGTTACTGAGATGCGTAAGCAAGGAGAAGCCGTAGACAGCACAATCTACTACGAAGATCACGAACAATATTCCAAGTGTACAGGAAGAAGCAGCAAAGAGGGAGTATGATATACAAGATATGGACAATGGCAGAGTTGAGGCGACGGATACATACTAGCTTCATTCAAAGACAAAATTCGGATCCAAGCGAATCGTGCACGCTTTATACGTAAACAAAGTCAACGACGACGAACTGTACCGGATGCAGCGGATCACATAGATACAGGACTGTGTACAGAACTCGCAGAGAAAAACTTAAGCGATTATGGCAACTGAATGCTTCTCTGTTTTGCTTCAGCAAGCGTCTTCAGGTTCACATATGCCACAAGTCAAAATGTGAATATTGCAATGGTAATCGCCATTCCTTGTTATGCTACAAAAATGACACCTTCCATGGCGTGAGACCTTGACGCGCAGTTCGAGATCACCAGTACGAACTTCTATTAGAAGGTTTCAAAATGACCGTCTGTCTCAAGAGAATCATTTTGCTTTGAGAACGGCAAGATCACCAGCACACTCAAGAAGAATCAATTTCCTATGCAACATTTTACATCTCTACCCTGAAGATATCACGAAAACTAAAAGATGAGATTAAGGGCATCACCAGCACGGAAGGCTGGTTATGAAGGGATAGGCACACTACCAACCACCTACATAAACAGAAGCAAAAATTCCAGCAGATCTTCTCAAAATTCATCAACCCGCAATTTACCAAAAAGTAGTCACATTTATCGATTACGCTGGTACTGCGGAAGATGTTTCAGCACAGAAGCGCGAAGTTGTAGAAACCTCTTCAGGAACAGCAGCAAAAGCAAGTCTCAATATAATCCACGAGGACAAAATTTTATCAACACCAGCTTTCAGCATTTTAGAATGTTCTTCGTGTACCAGACTGATGACAGTGCCAGTATATGTACGGAATACCCAGTCAAAAAAGTTGGAAAATCTAACAGCCTTACTTGACTCCGCTTCAGATTCTCCCTTCATTACAACAAAGGTAACCAGAAAATTCAATTTGGCACTTTCGGAACAAATCATAGCTGTCTCAGTATCTGGAGGTCACGTGGAAAGAAAGAAGACAACAGTAGTAAAGTCGAGTAGATTTTCCGCTTAACATAGTGTGCTTGCACTGAAGGTGAAATGCGGTAAAACATGTGCGTAAAGAAATAGCTACGCCTGTGACGCCGGCCATTCGCGGGCGCAAAATGCTGGCATTACTGGCGTGGCCTTGATCACGCGCAAATTTTACCGCATTTCACTTTCAGTGCAAACACACTACATTAAGCGGAAAATTTATTCGACTGTAAAAACGACACTTATCAGCAACTACGGGGAAACCCTAAATGTCTCATTATTAACGCAGGATCGCATCACAGACAGACCCAAAATGTGGCCTTACCGTGGAAGACCTCGCTTTTATAAGAGGGCTAGTACTGATAGACAATACTGAAGAATAATCATGATGCAACACAACCAAGTATCTTGCTTGGAATTGACTATTTCAATGAACTATTCATTGCCAATCACCCACCAGTAAGGTTGCCTTCAGAATTCTACTTGAGTCTGACACTTTTGGATACACAATCCAAGAAGGCACCCGCATGCAGGTCCTGGAGCTTACAGTTAAAATGTACACGCTTTTCATAAAAGGAAAACGCTTTTGATTACCCTAACTCTTACAGTTTAGAGAGTAATTACGAACTTAGAGGGAATTACAAACTTCTTCGAAATTCAAAACTTTGGGAGGGGTATTGCAGGATAATTCGTGACCAGCTGAATAACGGCATCGTAGAAAAAGTAAAAAGAGGAAATTCTGCTGCAAGCCCAACATATTTCCGAAAGTTTCTTCGACCTATCATAAAAACATATGGAACGAAGGCAGGGAAACGTTCTAGGCGCTATCCGACGCAGCTTTTCTTCCCCTTTCTAGCAGCCACATTCAGATGCTGGTTACGCTTGCGGTCACTGAGATTATCGCCGAAATTTCGAACCCATGGTTTTTATTTTGTCCAACTTTGGCGATTTTTCACAATCTTCACTTTTAATTTCTGGTAAAGCTTTGAGAGGAGACAGATAGAGTAAAAAAAGTGCAGCACTGAAATTTTTTCGGCAGTTTTAACTGCTTTTCAGTACTTTTTTAAAGTAACTTTTTCAAAAGTTTTCACTTTTGTAAAGCCGCAAAATACGAAAAAGCTCTAAACATTAACAAATTTTCGGATTTTAAAACTTTCAAAAGTCGATTATGGTTGTTCACTATTTTTGCAAAGTAACCGAGCGGTTGCTTCGAAATATCAAATTACGCATTTTACAGTACAACCTGGTACGGGTTCAAATTCAAGAATTATTGCTCACCAAAGAACCCACAAATATGCAAGCAAAAACACAAATAAGAATGAGGGGAAAAAGCTGCATCGAATGACACCTTAGTTGTGCGCCGTTTTGTGTTCTGTGGTTCTTGGCATTCAAAAGTGGGATTTGATAGCATCAGAAAAATAATTTCAAAATTTTTCGAGCCTAGCTGAAGACGCCGAAAAATTGTATTGCATTGTACTTTGTTTACTCTATCTTACTGCTATTGAAGCTTTTCAAAAATTCCAAAATGAAGATTGTGAAAAATCGCCAAAGTTGGACATGGTAAAAACCAAGGGTTCAAATTTTCGAGAATTATCTCAGAAATCACCGAAGCAAATGGTCCCAAAACACGACAGTTGGAAAGAGGAAGAAACTGCGTCTGCAAGTGCGTGAAGCGTTCGCCTGCCTTTATTCCAAGTGTTTTAAAGAAAGGTTGAAAAAACGAAAAGAACTTTCGGAACGACCTAATACAGTGCTGGACATAATTATAGAGACACTCTAGAAATTGTCGTAATTTTCGTTCTTGTCAGTGAATCTGTCTGAAACTTTGCTGTATTGTGCGCATGTAAGCCTATCATAACTCCTCAGAACGGCTTCCAATCCCGTTGATTCCGAACGGAGAAAAATGGAAAAATTCGAAAAAGCCTGTTTTGCAAGCTGGACATAATTATAAGGACACCTGGCTTTTTTAAACATTATCGCATTCCTTGACTCCCAAATTTTTTGTAAAGTTACATCCCAGAATATGAAGCTTTTGCAGCACCTACGACCTGTCATGCTACTCAAGGGAAGATGATCCTTGCACTTCTCGTTTCCAAAGGCATCAGAAGTCGAACTGCTTCAATAAACAACTGGTTTGAAGAGTTTTCAAGCACTTGTTCATTTCAAATGATCCATGGAGTCTACTGATCCTTCTGAAAAGATGGGGTGAAGAGCGCTTTCGTAAACTCTGCGTAATCGCTGATTTTGACGGACAGACTCCAACCTCACCATAGGGTTGTCGCTTTTGCACCACAAAACTCATTTTCCAATGTTCTTGAAGTGATGGACTCGATTTATTACATTGTCTAAATGGAGATGCATCTTTTGCAACAACTTTTAGATTTTTTCTAGTGCTGCAGTTGCCATTTAGATCTGAAATACTTTCACGAAAATTCTATGCGAGCAGTAGATTCAACATAATCACAAATCTCACTATTTTATTCTCTGTTTTATGTCGCATTTTGCGCGGTAGCTGAGATTAGCAAGATTTTGAAGTTACAAGCGGTTTCCTGTTCGATTTCTTGATTTGAGTTGGATATGATTGTGCAGGGTGCTCGACTCAACTCTCAACAGATGATAACTGCGGCTGAACCAGAATGTGCAACCCCAAAATTTTTTCCTGATTAGGCACACAAGTTTATTGTTGTACGTGTATTGTTGCGGCTACATTGCAGAGTTTTCTGTAACTTGAAAATCGAGTTTTGTGGTGCAAAAGCGCGACAGCCAGAAGGATCAGTAGACCCCATGATTATCATTAAAATGAACAAGGGCTTGAAAACTCTTCAAACCAGATGTTTATTGAAGCAGTTTGACTTCTGATGCCTTTGGAAACGAAAAATGCAAGCATCATCTTCCCTTGAGTAGCATGACAGGTCGTAGGTGCTGCAAAAGTTTCATATTCTGGGATGTAACTCTACAAAAAAATTTGGGAGTCAAGGAATGCGATAATGTTTAAAAAGGCCAGGTGTCTTCGTAATTCTGTCCAGCTTGCAAAACAGGCTTTTTCGAATTTTTTCATTTTTCTCCATTCGAAATCAACGGGATTGGAAGCCGTTCTGAGGAGTTATGATAGGCTTACATGCGCACCATACAGCAAAGTTTCAGACAGATTCACTGACAAGAACGAAAATTACGACGATTTCTAGAGTGTCTTTATAATTATGTCCAGTACTGTATTATATTCCGTACCAAGCGGTATTGACCAAGTAGTCATACAATTAAACTCTGAATTGTTTTAGATGCTCATCTGGGTTTGCCAAAATTACTTACGCGTGTTTGCTCGTATGCCAGAAAGATATAAGACGGGCTTGATGACGGTTTAAGCATGCATCTATTTTCACCAACATTAGCATCGTAATGCTATAGTCAAGTCAGAATTTGACTGCATAATTTTGCAAAAAATTTTTGCATAATTTTCCTCTCGACAGCCGAAATGTGCTCTGTACGCAGGTACAGCTTTGAGAAACACGATAATTTTTCGAAAACCTTTCCTCTTGTTTTAAAAATGGCATCAAAGTAAAGCAAGCCTTTGCCTCAAATTCTATTAGGTATGGAAATTGAAAGTCGATTCGAAGATGAATTTTCGATTTTTCAAAAATATACTTAGAGGCAGCATATCGAAAATCAGTTTTATTTTGGCTCTGCTGAGTGCGCCTGAGAATCAAAAAAAGGCCTTCAAAAACAGTTTTGAAACTATTTTCACGAACTGCTCATGATAGATGCTCTTTTACACGTCTAATAAATAATGAAGTGCTTTTTACTTAAAGGTTCAGCGCGTTTGGAGTTTTACAATCAATTTTGAACATAAGGTTGTTGCTCGTAGCAGGTAATTTCCGCAAAAACATTGTCGTATTTCGCGAAAGAATTTATTCCAGCAAATAAAATTAAGACTATGTGACAGTGCAAATTGTTTATATTTCTCAGTGGTTTTTCCATGGCGATGCTGCAACGTTAGCGCAGTATTTTGCCGCACCCTGTAAATGCAAAGGCGAGTTGAGCCTCAGCGATGCGGTACACCAAGGACCACTCCTCTTATCCAACTTGGCCCGGATACACTTCGAGCAAGTGTGGGTAACAAAATCATCATAGCAGACGTGGAAAAGGCTTCCGTACCATTTACTTCAACAAGCTTGATCGAGACGTAAGATTTCTCTGGCTGACTGACACAGCGCAGCCTCCTACGTCTGACAACATCGAAATATTGAGACTTAGAAGATTAGCATTCGGAATCAATGCCTCACCATCTCTACTGACAATGTCTATCCGAAACTCGCTCGAACAGCCAAGACACTGTAATTTGAAAGGAGCTAGTGCGCAATCTATACGTAGACAATGTGTGACCGCGAACGATCCAAATGAACTGATTGAGAAGTACAAGCTGAACAAAAAATCTGTTTCAAGATATGGCAATGAACTTAAGAGAATACATGACCAACAATGAAGATAACGCAGTAATATCAAAGCCAATTTGACACAACATGAAGGGCACAATTCTAGGAATTCCATGAAAACCAAAAACCGATCATTTTCTACTAAAAAAAACTTGAAACTGCACTATAACCCTTGTCTAACAAAACGTATAGTGCTGAGAACCACTCAAAGCACATTCTATCCGCTTGGATTGCTTGCGCCAATACTGCTTTCAGCGAAATTTTTATTTTTGCAAGATTTATGGGAGCAAAGTTACGAGTAAGATACACCATTATCACCATCGGATGATGCTCAGTAGAAAGAATTATGTTCACAAGGGAAAAACTATGAAATCAGCCTTCCAAGGCAAATAATAGTCCGCAAACGAATATCAGATGCATATATCTGTCGATGCTCCTTTCATTGTTAGATGTTTCGCGGCCTGCACTTACTTGAGAATGGTGGGAAGTAATGGAAAAGTAATAAGTTCACAGATCGTGGCTGCACGCAATCGACTCGCTCCAAAAAAGCTTCAAACAAACCAATCAAATCTCACAATTCCAAGACCAGAACTACTGGCACTCTAATTGGACATGCAACTAACACGTTTCATATGTAAAGAATTGAACATGCCCATTGAAAAAAGTTCACGTTTTCAGCGACTCTCAAATAGCTTTACAATGGATGAAAAACCACAAAAGGGCAAGCATGTTCACTGAAAATCGAGTCAGCCTTGTAAAAGAGATTATATCAGATCTTAAGAAGGATTCAACCATATATCGATTGGCATATATTCCTACGAACAAAAGCCTGCATATTGCATATAGCAGCCGATCATTTCAGTCAACATATGTGATGGAAGGGACCCGCATTCTTAAAGCAGTTCTAGCAAACATGGAAGCGTATTAGATACTTCCCTGAACATGCAACGAAAACAACAGAAGTTTGAGGAAAATTGGAGCTCAGAGCAGAATTCACATCAACTCACATCAACGACCTAGCAAAATACCGCTCAACAAAGACAACAAAGAAAGTGGCAAACCAAAACGATGGTCTACTAGTTTTTCACACATCATCTTGGTATCGAAGTAAGAAAGTCATGGTAATGGTATTGAAATTTCTCAAAATACTTATATATTCAAAAATAAGCAAGGAATGACAAAAGTATTTGCAAAGCCACATACCCGAAATAGCCTTCACGACACTTGACCCACCATTGCATATACCATCTTCCATTGACATTCGAGTAGCTAAAAAACACCTCCTAAAAATAACTCAGAGGCAGCATCCTTAAGCAATCAATAAATACTCTCATTTGAATCTGATTAAAAATGAGGACGGTACTGAGATGTTATAACCGCATACAGCTTTCTAAGCTATGTATAGACACAAACAACACTGTTTTTTACCGCCATGCCACACAGCCACAGAGCAAATTGCAGCAAATTGCACGCGAATTCCACGAAAATGTTGGACACAGGGGTAAACGGCACGTTAGCAAATAAACGAAATATTGGATTCCAAAAGGGAGAATAGTTGTCAAACTACTCAAAAAGATGCATAATATGCAAAAGGTTGGAAGGCAAACCTTAATTTTATCCGGCTAGTCCCGCATTATCGCAAAGCCGAGTGATTCCATCTCATTCATTCGATCACGCCGGAATTGATCTAGCATGTCCAATTGTGCTACGCTCCACTTCAGAAATCACTAAGCAATGGGCGTGCTTGTTTTCCTGCATGACAACACGAGCCTTTCCTGAAAATCGTCAAAAATCTGAGCTCTGTAGCATTTGCAAAGGGATTCGGACGCTTCTTAGCGAGACGCGAAGTTCCATCAACAATAATCACAGATAACGCAACAAATTTCAGAATAGGTAAAGAAATCATCATCACTTATAAAACGAAAAAAAATGTACAGCGACAAAAACAATGGTTTGAATGAATTCTGTGCAAAAAGCAAATTCAGTGGAAACTTATAACACACTTATCACCCTGGAAAGGGAATCTATTAGGTTGTCCCGAAAGTTCTGTCCGTTTATTTCATCGCTCACTAAAACTCACAGAACACCAATCCATGGACGACTTGTTTACCATTTGATTCAGATTCTTATTCTCTTTCTTACAGATGCCGGCAGGTAGGGTGGATTACTACGAGCCCAGAGGCAAATGCCCTGATGTGGACTTGAGGTCCCTAAAATCTCAAGCTGCCTACGGGGACCCCCAAGCCAGGCTGATCATCTATTTTTTTTGTGTTACGGTCCAGTTTTGCTGTCGAAATAGTATGGGAATCGAAAGGAAATCCGAAAAATTCCTCGTTTGCCATTTATTTGGCCAAAATTGTGAACCTGCCGGCAGGTTCACGATCTATTTTTGTCGAAATTTGAGATGCCATCTAGCTCGCAGCCTGCCGGCAAGTCAGAAAGTGAAGGAAATAGTGTGTAGTTTGTGGAGTGCGACCTGCCGGCATGTGGACGTGCCCCTACCACGTCCAGATGCCGGCCACAATTTACGTCAAGCAGAAGGATCAGAAAAATTCATTTTTTATCAAAAACCATGATTTTTATCATTATATGGGTTTTTCCTTGTTCAAATTCTTGATATATCTGTAGAAAAAATAAATGTTTATATTATATAACTAAAAAGAGCGCCATCTTCTTCTTGCAATTCTTTTAAATCTTGTTTGCAACGTTTTCGCCTGCCTCTTGCTTTTATCAATCAGCTGTTCTTTCAGGTCAATGTCTATCACGCAATGTATTGATCCTGCGCTCTCACAGGCGCAACTTTTCTGTGCGCTGCTGTAACTGCTGCCGCACAAATCAAAAACTGACAGCGTGGTTGAATGGTTAGTGTTGCGGCGCTCAAAGTTGACGCATGCAGGTTCGAACGCGCTTGATGTAAGTGTTTTGCGGCTGCATGCGTTATTAAAATTTCATGTGCATATGACTGCGAAGAACGGGTATTCGAAATTATCAGAAACTGCGAACGCAAGGCGAATAAGACGTCAATCTCGAGAAGTACAAAAAAGAGAGAAACTAATCGAAAATTAAAGCAAGATTTAGCTTGCACCCGAAACACGAACATGCCGCGAGGTTCGCGAACTTGTCGGCATCCTTGATGCCACCTGGTCGGGTAGATTACTACGGGCCCTGATCTACCCTGTCCTTGCAATGTTATCGCCATGGCTTTTTGAGCAGCTCAGCAGTAACTACAAATCTTTCCTAAATTTTAAAAGCTTTTATTCTGATGCTTTCAAAGAGCGCAGGTAACCGTTACTTAGAGCAAACCTTTGGCTACATTTTAAGTGTTTTAAAATACATGTGTCACGTTTATTACATCCGTTATAATTATTTATTTAATAAAAACCACGGCTTTTTGATTACGTTTACCACGTAAAAGTACCGAAAATTCCAAAAAAGGTGCTTTTTCATACAAATCAAACCTGGTTTTGTTGTATAAATAATGTTTGATAAGAATCACGTCTCAATTCGCAAAAATTCCGAAAGTTTTCGTGTATTCGCTGCAGTTGCGTGTTTCATGCTTTGCCAACAATCGAGACCTCCGAAGAAATAATTTTTTGAAGTTTAGAATAGCAGATTAAGAGGACCTAAAAAACTAGCTTGTAGTCCAAGAAATGCTCTATTCGACACATATACTTAACACTTTCCGGAACTTTGGAAGAAATTTTTGAAAATTAGCCGAACTTTGAGCAATAAAAATGACGGGTTAAGAATTTTAGCAATTATCAGAAAAGGCATACAAGATTGTGATTCGAAAATGCACCATATGAAAGAGAAGGAAAAGCTGCATTATGTCAAAACTCGTTTGCGTCTTTATTGTGCATGGTTTTATAGTGGTTTGCAAAAACGGACAAAACTTTCGGGACAACCTAATATGAAGGATTGATAGGTATAATGAAAATGTGCTTACGAAAAGCCATGGCAAAAACAACTCTCTCCAACGGATTTTCAAACTATAATCACAGGAACTCAAGAAATATTAAATTCACCTCCCCTCGCATACTGTATAATAAAGTCACCTCCCCTCATCTCCCCTCGCAGCTCTCTAGAACATTCACTGGTAGTATGTCGTGTCATTTTTCTTGTATTACAGTCAACACAACATCTTAGCTATAAAAACCAATGACAAAGATGAAGAATACCACAGAGAAGTACTCGCAACTAAAGAAGAAGCAGAAAAACTAAAGAGCATCATAAATTATTCTGGCAAGCTATGGTCCTTGTGGACTACATAATATAATATATTAGATTGGATCGAAAGTTTATTCTCACCATTTTCAAAAATTCATAACTTCTGATTTTTTCAATCGATTTGATGCTTTTACTTTTGTACGAAAAAGTAAGTCATAATTTTCACAAAGACATTAGCTCCTTACTAATGTTCATCGGCTGCATAGATAGGAGCGATAGAAGAAAATTGGTCAAAATTTTGAATTTTCTGTGCGAGGTCATAAAAAATCGGAAACTTGCAACAAAAATTCGAGCAATCGGTATCGCAGGTTCTTTCACCAGCTATTTCTAGCAGTGCAAAGTCTGCGCCTTGCGCCGATTGAGCGTCTCTAATAAAAGTTACGATTTTCGAGCAAGTAATACAAAAGGGCGAATTTGATTTATTTTGGCATTTTTCGAGGAAGTCGTGACTTTTCATAAAGACGCTCAATCGACGCAAGCTTTGCATTGTTAGAAATAGCTGGTGAAAGAACCTACAATACCGACTGCTCCGATTTTTGTTGCAAGTTTCCAATTTTTTACGACTCTACCCAGAAAATTTGAATTTTGACCAATTTTTCCTATTGCTCCTATCTATGCACTGAACATTGGTAAGCAGTAAGATGTCAGTATAAAGAGCATGACTTACTCTTTCATACAAAAATAAAAGCAGTCAAATCGGCTGGAAAACTCAGAACTTATGAATTTTTGAAAATGGTAAAAACGAACTTCCAGTTCAACTTAATATCTTAAAATCACGAAATTTCCACCAGAAGCGCATTCAGCGAAAATCAATCACAGGGAGAATCTCAACGAAAGGCGAAGTTGTTCTCATAATGGAGGAGGGCAGAGCAAGAGGTCCATGGCCTGTGGGAATTGTCGAAGCAGCCAACACGATCGCGGTGGGAGATAAGCGAAGTAGCGTTGCGTACACCCAACGCGCAAAACTCACGTTATCGATAAACATGCTGTTCCTCTAGAGTTAGACGGCGAAAATCGACTCAAACACACAGTAACGCACAAACCGAGAAATCATCTACTAGTGAAGAAAGGAACAACGATGCTAACGAAATAGAGGGCAAAGTTAAAGACCAGAAGCAAACAAAAAAGACCGTGCACTATTATACAACTCGGAAAGCAAGAAATTGGGAGACTCATTCATTGCCAACTGCCACGCATGGATTTATGTCATTACTCTGCTTGTTCCCGCCAAGCAAAAGCACAAAAAAACAACTATTATATTACGACACTGAAAACAGAATGCGTTCTTGGCGGGGTTAAAATATGGAGTGCGAGCAGCGCAAAAACTACAAATATATGGTGAGCATCGGTTTAGAGATGAACAATATAGAAGATAACGTGTCCATTCAGTTTCCGCCAGAAGTGATATTACATAGACATAATGTTTTGGTGGAAACTTTGATATCAATTAAATCAAGCATTTCAATTCACGTGACCATCAGTCCCATTTTGCGAGCAAATAATATGAATTTTGTGATACTATGATCAGTAATCCCCACCGTTGGCCAAAAACCCCAATAATAGTTATTGCAATATTCATCTATTCAACTTTAATGACCATAACGCTGTCCCTTATGAGTCACTAGCTGATGACCCGGTCTCGCCCGAGACTTTTAGTTCAACCAAGATGGGGCAGGGGGACGAAATCCGCCAGTTTGAAACATCTCCGCAGACTACTGGTACTGCAACCACAAGCAACAATATTTCAAAAGGACCAGTTGCCAGCAAAGGCGGGCTCAAACTGGCGGAGTTCGTTCCCCTACCTACCAAAATGTCATCGGCTCCCAGATTCGTGTAGAGGATGGTTGCGCACTTCCTTGATTTTCAGGACAAACTTGTCAAACCTCCACGTTTTAGCACTGTATTTCGTACTTTCTCGTTGAGCTTTCCCCTTAAAGCCAGTAAAGTCCGCAGCTCGCCTTCACGAGAATCTGGAAGCTGATCATACTTACACTTTCTAACTTCTACAATGCGC